AGGCGTCAGACGTTATGATATTTTCCACCCCAGGCATGCCTGCCTAACTGTAGCTAGCAGTTTAGGTATGGGATTGTCAGTCCCGAATAGATCTATTCACAAATCTCACGCTCTCCCTCCAGGAGACTCTGGTTACACTAAAAGATAGGATTTAATCTGTACCCCGAAAGGTACATTTTGAAGAGTTGTCTCACAATCCTGTATTAAGTAGCTTACATGTAGTTCTGTATTGATCTATTGTATTTAAATCCGTTTGTATACTTTATAGAGTAATAATTATACTTAAATAATTATTTAGTAAAGTATTCTTGCTACCCGAAAATATCATAAACTACGTCTGTCATTGTTTATATGCCTTTAAGTATAAAACCATGTATTGAAATCCCAAACTATACATATTATAGTTTATAGGTAGGTTATGTACTTGGTTTGTGTATTGATCATAAAACTATGCAATTATGCTTATATGTTGAAAACGTATGATAGGAAGGAATAACAGGTTGAACAATAATGATTGTAAATCAAATATGGGAATGAATGCTTATGATCACTGAATGTTCAAAAAGAGAATACAAAAGGAAATCAGAGAAGGAAACCAAAAGATTATCCTTCATGCCCAAGCTATGACTAGCCGACCCTTCCCTAACAGAAAAATATTCTCTCACATGACATTTATTCTATGCACTCACTACTATATATAGTATTCCCATAAAACGTAACAACCTGCTGACATCATAGCCCTACACCTGTCTTTTTTTATTCTTACGAATAAACCTTCCAAGTCCTAGACCCATTGGACTCCATGAACTGATCTCTATCAATGCCGGCCTCTTGAAGAAGTGGCTTGTCTTCAACTCTAAAAGAAGGAAAAGAAGCCTGGATGTTGAAAGCGTCCTCCCAAGTGGCTTCTGAAGCAGATTGAGTATCCCATTGAATGAGCCATTGCTCAACTGGGACGCCCTGTTTGGAAATGGTGCGTGTGGCGAGGCGCTTAGCTGGTGTAGATGGGTTTGTGGTATCCATTTCAAGGCCTGGGGGAAGGGAAGGTTCAACGGTATGGTTGCCGGTAGCGCGCTTCAGCAGGGAAACATGAAAAACAGGATGAATCTTGGCAGAATCAGGTAACTGGAGACGATAAGCAACTGGTCCCACTTTAGCTGTAATTAGAAAAGGCCCATAGTAGCGAGGGGACAATTTTTGGTTGATTCTGCGCACCACTGATTGTTGGCGATGGGGACGCAACTTTAAGAACACCCAGTCGCCTTCCGAGAACTCAATGTCGCGGCGGTGTTTGTCAGCGGAAGATTTCATATAAGATTGAGCGCGTGTGGGGTGATATTTCAGCTGGGAAAGTGCCTCGTCTCTGTCAGCTAAGTCATGGGCGACGGCTTCGCAACGAATTTCGCCTGGTGTAAACTGAAAAACCGTTGGAGGGGGCGCCCGTACACGATGTGGAAAGGGGTGGTATTGGTTGAGACGTGATAGGCGGTGTTGTGCCAGAATTCCGCCCATGGGAGCCAAAAGGACCATGTTTTTGGTTGTTCTGCAGCAAAGCAACGAAGGTACGTCTCGAGCCTACGGTTTACCACTTCAGTCTGACCATCAGTTTCAGGATGGTAGGCTGAACTAAACTTCAGTTGACTTCCCTGTAACTTGAAGATTTCTTGCCAAAATTTGCTCAAAAATAATGGATCCCGGTCGCTAAGTATTGTTTTGGGCAGACCATGAAGGCAGACGATCTCCCGGATGAAAACATCAGCAAGTAAGCGAGCTGTGAGAGGGTGTTTTAGGGGTATAAAATGGCAATATTTGGAAAGGCGGTCTACCACAACCAAAATGATCTCGTACCCTTTAGATTTAGGTAACCCCGTAATGAAATCTAGAGATATATCATCCCATATAGCTGTGGGGATAGGAAGGGGTTGTAGGAGTCCAGCTGGGGCAAGAGTGGAATTCTTATACCGTTGGAAAGTGTCACACGCTTGAACATAAGCCTTGATAGACTTAGTCATTCCGATCCAATATATTTGAGCAGCAAGACGTCGGTAGGTGTGATAGAAACCCGAATGACCTCCACTAGGGCTATCATGAAATTTCGCAATGAGTTTAGGGATCCAAGGCTATGAGGATGGGATGACCAGTTTACCTTTGTGGTAAAGTTTACCATGTAGTAAAGAGAATCCCGGATGAGAATTAGGATCTACAGAGAATGCAATCACGAGTTTTTGGAGGTGTGGATCACTAGCAAAACCATCTAGAAGAGAATCACTATCTAACCAGCGAGGGTATGAGAGTAAGCTACGAAGTTCATGCTCATCTGTCACCCGAGAAAGAGCGTCTGTTGCATTATTGTCTCGACCTGGCTTATATAGAATTGAAAATTGGTAACCCATGAGTTTGGCTATCCAATTTTGCTGAGAAGATGTTGTAATCCGTTGTTCTAACAGGTGGCGTAAACTCTTCTGATCAGTAAACACAGTAAAGTGTCGCCCCAACAAATAAGGCCTCCAATGTTGGATGGCGAGTACCAGGGCCATCATCTCTTTCTCATAAGCTGATTTAGTAAGATTTTTATCCGAGAGAGCTTTACTAAAGTAGGAAATTGGCTTGCGGGATTGCATAAGAACAGCTCCAATACCATGACCTGAAGCATCACACTCAATCTCAAATGGTTTGGTGAAATCCGGTAATGTGAGAAGAGGGGCAGTAGTCATGGTTTGTTTTAAAATGTCAAAAGCTCTTTGTGCGTCTGGTCCCCAAGTAAAAGCGTCCTTTTTGGTTAATTCAGTAAGAGGGCGTGCAAGTTTGCCGTAATCGCGGATGAATTTGCGGTAATAGCTGGTGAGACCTAAGAATCCGCGGACGCCTTTTACATTTTTTGGAATCGGCCAAGCTTGGACAGCACTGATTTTCTGAGGATCCATTGAGACGCCCTGGTGAGTGATGATATGGCCTAAGTATTCCACAGATTGAAGACCAAAAGAACTCTTTTTTTGTTAATGACCAATTTGTGGTTTTGAAGCAAAATCAGAACTTGGGTAAGGAGGTGTAGATGAGCATCCCAATTTGTGCTGTAAACCAAAATATCATCGAAAAAGACAAGTACACCCTTGCGTAAAAGTGGTCGTAACACCTCGTGCATAAGAGCTTGAAAAGTTGATGGGGTATTAGTTAGCCCAAAGGGCATAACTAAAAAATCATAATGCCCGTTGTGAGTACGAAAGGCGGTTTTATGAATATCGGTTTCACGCATTCGAACTTGATAGAAGCCAGATTTGAGGTCAATTTTTGAAAAAAAATTGAGAACCGTGAAGCTCATATAATAATTCCTCTACCACGGGTATGGGGTATTTATCGGGGATGGTCACCCGATTCAAGGCTCTATAATCGATGCACAAGCGCCACGAAGAATCCTTTTTCTTAACCAATATCACCGGACTAGAGAAAACACTTTAGCTGAGACGGATTATACCAGTTGAGAGCGTGTCATCCACATGTCGTTGTATTTCATCTTTTTGTAGATGGGGATAGCGATATGGCCTTACACAGATGGGACCATGGCCATCTATAAGGTTAATAGTGTGCTCTATGGTGCGTGGTGGTGGGAGGCCTTGGGGGGATTGAAACAGGGACACAAATCGGGATAGAATGTCAGAGAGTTGTGTTTGCTGTGAACATGATAAGGTAGAGGGTGGTTCTTGGGAGGTGGTAAGTGTATTTAGGTGCTCAATAATCCAAGAATTTAGAGAGTGATGTTGGAGTGGAGAGGTGATACCACGGAGGTGGATGAGGGATCCTTGGTGCCAGAAGCGCATTTCCTGAGTTTGCCAATTTGAAACAACATCCCCCAAAGTAGCGAGCCAAGCAACACCCAAAATAACGTCCAAAGAACCCAGTTCATATACCAGAGCATCAATTGTGCAAGAATAAGAGCCCAGTGAAATTGAAATACCTTTGCAAATTTGGGACATCTGGACTTGGGAACCTTCGCCCAAACTGATGGATAAAGGTCAACAAGAGGTGATCTCGATTCCCAGAGTTGATGCTAAAGTTTTAGAGATGAAATTGTGAGTGGCTCCCCCATCGATCAAAATGATCGTTGTTATACCAGAGAGTTGACCCGCTAGTTTGATGGTGCGGATAGTAGAAGAGGAGTCAGCAGTAAATCCTCGTGAGTTGAGAGCATGGCATTCACCATCGATGAGTGGGTGCTCATCGTCAATAGACTCCATAGGTCGAAACTCGCCGTTGTCATCAGTGTATTCTCCCTCAGCCAACAGTAGAACACGAAATTGACCATCTGAGCATTTGTGTTGAGGGGAATATTTCTGTCCGCAACTCAAACAAAGACCCCGTTTGCGTCGATCTTCCCATTCCTGCTTCGTAAGGTTTTTGGTACCGACAGAACGATTGTAATTAGGGTTATGGCGGACCGGGTCAGGTGGTTTACCCGATTGGGGCCCCGAATTAGAAATGGTACGAGGGAGTGGGCTGGAAGTGGGCTTATTGGAAGTAAACGGAGTAGCAGAGTTGTGACCTTGCCAAACGTGGCCCACTTTTGGGGAAACTGGTCTAAACGAGGTGCATTTTTTGGTGAATGTGGAGGTATCGTCGTCGGTTGTAGTAGCAGTGGTGACGTGACGAGCCATCTCCATCGCTTGGTCACAAGTGGTTGGACGAAGGGCACGCACCCAGTTTCTGATATCCAGTTGAAGACCACATAAGAACATCCCAAGGGCTGAGGCTTCAGATTGCTCAAGGATCAAGGCAGATATAGACTCAAATTGTTCGATATAATCTTCAATGTCTCCCTCTTGGAGTAACGAACCCATAGCTTCGTGAGCATTGAGATAACGTGTTTCCCCAAATCGAACAAGAAGTTTACATTTGAAATCGTTCCAGGTGGTTTGAGGGTGTTTGAAAAACAGAGTAGTGAACCAATTTAGGGTTGTACCTTCCATACACATTTGAGAGAGCTTCAATTTGTTGGGTTCGGTGGTTTAGTGGACGGAGAAATAGAGTTCAGCTTTGGTTATCCAGCCTCGAGGGTCAGTGCCATCGAACACCGGTAGCTTGACCTTAGGAAGAGAGAAGACGGAATCGTCGGGGTGGTGAGGGTTGGTTGAACCAAAGCGCGGAGGAAGGTTACCGGATTCAAGGATGAGTCCTGATGATGATCCTTCTTCAGGATGTTTCCCAAATTTTTCAGGTGATTTTAGTAACAATTTCTCCATAAGTGTCTTCATTTCTTGCATCTGGGCGGAGATCTGATCAATTTTGCCATCTTGTGCATCCATACGGGATTGAAGAGATTGCAATCGAGTAGTGACCTGAGCTTCTGTTGCTTGTACCATGGTGGAAGAAAGCAAAAGAGCGAGGCAATGGAACCAAATTGATAGGAAGGAATAACAGGTTGAACAATAATGATTGTAAATCAAATATGGGAATGAATGCTTATGATCACTGAATGTTCAAAAAGAGAATACAAAAGGAAATCAGAGAAGGAAACCAAAAGATTATCCTTCCAGCCCAAGCTATGACTAGCCGACCCTTCCCTAACAGAAAAATATTCTCTCACATGACATTTATTCTATGCACTCACTACTATATATAGTATTCCCATAAAACGTAACAAACCTGCTGACATCATAGCCCTACACCTGTCTTTTTTTATTCTTACGTGAATAAACCTTCCAAGGCCTAGACCTGATCTCTATCAACGTACCTTATGCTCAGCATGTTACAAAAGGGATGAAATATCTAAATCTTTTATAAAATGTGGAAACCGTATGGTTGTACTAATTCCGTCAGTTTTAAGTGTGTCGAAATCCTTTTTGTATAAATTCACAAAATCATTTGTGTTTGGCTTGTACCCCCCCCCCCCTGAAAACATTAAAAATAATAAAAGCATAAGGGTGTGAACTCACTGTTAGTTGCGTGAAAGTGTCGGACAACGAAACTGTGAATGAAGACCCTCGGGTTAATGTACGCGGCACTTAACGGGATTCGGGACTCGATTGAATCGGAGAAAGCAGGTTTTCAGCTAAGTTCACGACTTAGGGTGGGTTTGTGGTCGTGAAGGATTTCCAGTCGTAAACTGTTCTCGGCCGTGAACAGTAAACTGCTCTTGAATGGTTTACGGCCTTTGAAGGTTTAAAGGGTTCACAGCCTGTTCTTGATGAACTATGAAGATTTGAAGGGTTCACGGCCGTGAACTCAAGAACAGCAAAGCTTGATTTGATGAAAAACGGATGTTTTGATGCTCGAAAACGAGTTCCAAGGCGGATACAGTGCTAGATGAAGAGAAATCTGGTGTTTTGGGTGATGATTTTTAGAGAGAGAAAGGGTGTTCGCGGCCAGAAAAGTGCAAATGAGGGGTATGGGCTCATATATAGGGGGTTTTCATGGTCGGTGGTGGGGTCCACCTACCGTGAACTGGTTTACGGTTGTGATCAGGTTCACGGCCGTGAACACCACTCGGGCTGTAATCCGTTGATTTTCGAAGGAAACTCGGGTTTTCGCGTGATTTTGTTTCCGACTCTTATAAAAACGATCTTCTAAACCATAAGAAATTAACGGAACAAATAAAATTTGTAGTTTATTTAACAGAAATGGCAAACTTTAACGGAAAAAGGTTCGGGTTGTCACACGTTGGGCGTACCAGCCACACAACGTGTACACTTAGCGTACAGCTGAGTACGCCCCGCGTACTTAGGGAGTTTGGGCTTGGCATTGTTTGGGCCTCAGTTGGGCCACTTTCTTGGTGTTTGTTGCTTTGGGACTTTTAGGCCATCAGGAATCAAGCTTTTGGACTAAGGAACCTTAGTGGGCCTTTGGGTAAGGCCCATTTGGGGATTTAGGTCCAATTTGGAAAATTAGGCCATAAGTGGGCCTTTGTGGATCGTTTGATTTTGGGCTTTATTGGTTTATGGTTTTGGGCCTTAGTTTTGGATCAAGCTAGGCCAGGGGTAAATGGTCATTTTACCCCAAGTATGGATTATTGATTATAGGTTGGAACCCAAGTGTTGATTGGGTGTTTTCTTTCTGTGAGATTTAGTATTTGAGGTAAATCGTCAAGTATGGATCAAGCTAGGCCAGGGGTAAAGCCAGGCCAAGGGTAAATCATCAGAACAACAGCTAGGGTTTTCTTTTTGTGAGATTCAGCATTTGAGGTGAGTTTCCTCACTGGGTTTAGCGGGTCAAAGGCACCAATGTCGGCCATATTTGATTATGTTAGGATGCTAGGAGTCTGTGTGTTTTGGATTAGTGTCTAAGCCCGTAACTATATTTGGTAAGTACTTGACCCGGTTGTGCATGGTCCTTTTGGGTTGCCTTCACCATAGCAACTTGACAGGGTGATTTATGGAGAGAGAGAGAAGATATTATGGTTTATTAATATATTATAAGAATAATATATTAAAAGAATAATATATTAAAAGAGAAATCATATTATTTAATTAATATTAGTCATAAATTAATGAGGAATTAATCTGGTGACTAAAAGAGATTAATTGAATAAAGGGGACTTAAGCTGTCAAATGTGTGATAGTTTAATTTTGGGCTGGGAAACCTAATGAATTAAAGGGGTGAACGAAATTATGATGGGAGCCCATCATATTTTCGTCCTTGGCCTGTATTCCAGAAGGTTCCATGGGATGCTTAGAGTTTAAGCTGTCCCTTAGGGTTTTGACTGAAACCCTAACTGCTCACAGTATAAATAGAACCCTTTGGCTATAGAAATCGGCTACCCTAACCCTAAGAGTGATAGATCCGAATTCAAGAAGCCTCCAACCTCTCTCCAAGATCATTCTTTTGCTATTGGTGTTTGTAAGCCATTAGAGGAGTGACACTTGTGACTCTAAGCTTCAAAGACAAGAAGATTCAAGCAAGCAACAAGAGGTAATGATACAGATCTGATTTGTTTCATATAATTTCAAATTGTTCTCATTAGATCTAGGGTTTGTAAGCCTTGAATGATTGCATGTACAATTAGTGAAACCTAGATTCAAGCATTAGGGTTTGTATGAGCACATAGGATGTTCTTTTGGCTCAAACCCATCAGTGTGACCCATGCATGTGTTATGTGCTGTTATGTATACCGGGCGAGGCTCGATGCCAAGCGAGGCCTGAGGACTGGCACATATGCTAGTGTTTATGAGTATTATATGTGTTAACATGATTGTGTGATATTGATTGTATGTGTATAGCGGGCAAGGCCCAGTGACAGACAAGGCTTGAGAATAATAGATCTGTATACTGAGCGGGGCTAGATACCGGGCGAGGCCCGATGTCGGGCAGGGGCCAAGTATGTTGTAACATCCCAAAATTCAAGACCAAAAATTTCATTTTAATTAAGTTATTATATAAGACCAACAGAATAAAAATATTCATAATAATATCTCATGTCAAAACCAAGTGTCAATAATCAAAACATATTATCATAAAACCATATCAGAGTGTAATCCCAAAGATCTCATGTGCGGAAAACATAGTGTGATGCGTTGCGATCGAGCCGGCTCCTTTCCTTGAAAACAATGCACCTGAAACCAAAACTGTAAACAGTAAGCACGAAGCTTAGTGATTTCCCCCATCATACCACATACCATAGAAATCACATTCTGTCAGGCATACCGGGGTGCAAGACCTACCCCATGTCAGGCATATCTGGGTGCCTGACCTACCCTGCTGAGCATACAGGGGTGCTTAACCTACCCCTGTTAGGCATACCGTGGTGCCCAACCTATCCTTCGGTCCTGTCGACCGGTAGTCGAGGACTATTTCACCCCTACTACTAACACATAATATCATATCACATACATCATAATCTGTCTAGCATGGTTGGGTACTAAACTACCCCTTCGGCCCTATCGACCGGTAACCGGGGACTATTCCCCCCCTACTACCACTACCACATAACAACTTATCATAAATATACTATCAGGCATATCTGGGGTGCCCGACCTACCCTTCGGTCCTAACAACCGTAATACGGGGACTATTCCCCCTACTGCTGCTATCACATAACATCATATCAGGCTAGCACATAAAACACATCAGGTAGTAGCAAACCTAGATAATTATCACAAAGACAATCATCTAACATACAACTCCTACTAGTGGGTCGGAATTGTGGCCGTAGACCCACCACTACTGGAAGGTAACTCACCTCATACTGCTGAAGTCCACTGCTAGAAATCCTTATTGCTACCCTGGCGACTCCTCGAGCTATCAATAACACAATATCACCCAATTAGCAATTGGGTCCTAAACCATGATCCACAATCCATATTTGGGGTGAAATGACCGTTTCACCCCCGACCCATCGAGGTCCATACTATATAATCCATGAAGGCCCATTAATGGCCCAAGTCTAAACCAATCAAGCCCAAAGCTCCAAAATCCATAAAGGTCCACTAATGGCCCACTTATGGCCCAATCTTCCAAATTGGGCCCAACCCTTTACATGGGCCTCACCCTAAGCCCAATAACTTATTTCTTGTCCAAACATACATCCTTAACTAGTCCAACAATCCACAACCCAAATAATAGCCCAAACCCAAAATGGCCTACAAGGCCCAATAAGGCCCAAATCTATCTTGGACCTAACCCAAGAAGGCCCAATCTCCAAAAAGGCCTGAAATACTAAATGGGCCACCCTATCCAACTCCTGGTCCATGGTCCAAGGCCCAAAAAGGTCAACAAAACAAAGTGAGTCAACCAGGCCGAGTACGCCCTGCGTACCCAGATGGTACGCCCAACATACACCACTTTGGGCTAGTACGCACAACGCACCAAACGTACGCCCAACGTACTCCTCTGAACTCTAACCTTCTCCAAATAAGCACTTAATCACTTCATCCCTTGCTCCAACTCTCCATTCTAACTCCTATAGGTGACTTTTCAAGTAAAGTTGGCAACTTTACTAACATTCATGGCTTAATGGGACTCTAGAGCTCAAAAGAGCTTAATGGATGATCTTAACTCATGCTTGGGTTCAAACACTTCACAAAGCTTGCACCTTTATGAGAGAGGGGACCTTAGAATGTCCAGATCTACAAGTTTGAGTCCCCAAAACGACCCTAGCTCACCAAGACCAAGCAAAAGGCTAAAAATGGCCAAAACCAACCCAAAAGAGGATCTATGAAATAGAAGGTCAAGATCAGAGCTTTTTACCTCCAATGGGTTGACAAATATGAGAACTTTCTGGATCTACAAGCTCCATTCCAAGATCAACACTTGAACACCACCTTCTCTTCTTGCACACACACACACACAAAAGTCTTCTTTCAATCTCCAAGCTTCATCCAAGGTCATTTAGGGTTTCATGGTCGTGAAAAGGGGTGGAGGCTGATCT